GTGACCTCAACTGCAGCAACTTCTTGCTAGACACGTCTCCAAAGGCAAGGGAAGCAAAGGCAAAAATGAACTATTGGGACTTCATCAAGATAAAAAGCTTTTGCACAGCAAAGGATACAGTCAACAAAACCAAAAGACAACCGACAGAATGGGAGAAAAATTTGCAAATGACCTATCAGATAAAAGGCTAGTATCCAGGGTGCCTGGGTAGGTCAGTTGGTTAAGCAACTCAGGTCATGATCCTGGAGTCCTGGGATCGAGTCCTGCATAGGGCTCCCTGCTCAGCAGGGAGTCGGCTTCTCCCTCTGACCCTCCTCCCTCTCATGCTCTCTGTCTCTCATTCTCTCTCTCACAAATAAATAAAATCTTAAAAAAAAAAGGCTCGTATCCAAAATCTATAAAGAACTTATCAAACTCAACACCCAAAGAACAAATAATCCAATCAAGAAATGGGAGAAGACATGAAACAGACATTTATGCAAAGAAGACATCCAGATGGCCAACAGACACATGAAAAAGTGTTCAACATCACTCAGCATCATAGAAATACAAATCAAAACCACAATGAGATACCACCTCACCCTGATCAGAATGGCTAAAATTAACAAGTCAGGAAATAATAGATGTTGGCGAGGATGCAGGGAAAGGCGAACCCTCTTACACTGTTGGCGGGAATGCAAGCTGGTGCAGCTGCTCTGGAGAACAGTATGGAGGCTCCTCAAAAAGTTGAAAATAGAGCTACCCTATGACCCAGCAATTGTACCTCTGTGTATTTACCCCAAAGATAGAAATGTAGTGATCCAAAGGGGCACCTGCACCCCCATGTTTATAGCAGCAATGTCCACAATAGCCAAACTATGGAAAGAGCCCAGATGTGCATCGACAGATGAATGGATGAAGAAGATGTGGTGTGTATACACACACACACACACACACACACACACACACACACAATGGAATATTATGCAGCCATGAAAAACTGAAATCTTGCCACTTACAACAACGTGGATGGAACTAGAGGGTATTATGCTAAGCGAAATAAGTCAATCTGTGAAAGACAATTATCATATGATCTTACTGATATGTGGAATTTAAGAAACAAGGCAGAGGATCATAGGGGAAGAGAGGAAAAAATGAAACAAGACAAAACCAGAGAGGGAGACAAACCATAAGAGACTCTTACTCATAGGAAACGAACCGAGGGTTGCTGGAGGGGAGGGGGTGGAAGGATGAGGTAAATAGGTGATGGACATTGGGGAGGGTATGTTTTGTAATGACCACTGGGTATTATATAAGATGGATGAATCACAGACCTGACCTCTTAAACCAATAATACATGGGGTGCCTGGGTGGCTCAGTCGTTAAGCATCTGCCTTCGGCTCAGGGTCCTGGGATCAAGCCCCCTGCGGGCTTACAGCTCGGCGGGAAGCATGCTTCTCCTTCTCACACTCTCCCTGCTTGTGTTCCCTCTCTTGCTGTCAATCTCTCTGTCAAATAAACCAATAATACATTATAGGTTAATTAATTCAATTTAAATTAAAAAAATAATGGTAGATCTTTTTATTAAAAAAAAGAAAAAGAAATGAGCTCCCAAGCCACAAAAGACATGGAGGAACTTTAAATGTATGTTGCTAAGTGAAAGAAGCCAGTCTGAGAAAGTGACATACTATACGATTCCATGGAGACAGTAAAATGATTAATAGTTGCCAGGAGTCAGGGCCAGGGCCTGAGTGATGGAGGAATCAATAGGTGGAGCACAGGGGATTTTTAGAGCAGTGAAATTATGATTCTGTAGAATACAGTAATGGTAGATATATGGCATACATTTGTCAAAACTCAGAATATACAACACAAAGAGTGAACTGGGATTTTAGTAAATAATATTCTATCAGTATTGGCTGGCTCATCAGCTGTAACAAATGGACCACACTAATGCAAGATGTTAATAATAGGGTGTATTGTGGAGAGGCAGGGAAGGGTGTTTGGGAGTTCTCTGTACTTCTTACTCAGTTTTTTTATGTAAACCTAATACTGCTAAAAGAAAAAGTCCATTAAGTTTTTCAAAAATCCCCTTTAAGGGGCGCCTGGGTGGCTCAGTCATTAAGCATCTGCCTTCGCCTCAGGTCATGATCTCAGCAGGGTCCTGGGATCAAGCCCCGCATCAGGCTCCCTGCTTAGTGGGAAGCCTGCTTCTCCCTCTTCCACTCCCCCTGCTTGTTTTCCTGCTCTCACTCTCTCTATCAAATAAATGAAATCTTTAAAATATATATATATATATAAATTTTTTAAAAATCCCCTTTAACTGTTTTTAGTGGGATTTCAGGAAGGAGTAAACCAAATGTGTGTGCTCAATTGCTGTGTTATATAGGAAGTTCTAGAAATACCGGAAATACTTTTTCTTCTTAAGATTAGTCTAAGTAATAAAATAAACAAGAACTTGCTTTCACACATTATCAAATAATCTAGCATTGAATTTTATAGATAACTACTTATCATTAAGTAACTTTGAAATAAGTTTCGCTACTTTAATGATTGAGCAGTTGCTCTATATAATACAATTATTAACTCATCAAAAGAATTAGCACAGAAATGATTCTGCCTTTTAGTGCGATATTTTATTGTTACTGAGTGTAATGTACCATTTTAAATCTTCCCATAACAAATGAATAGCTGTTTTTCTTCTAGAGAATATAACCAATTTTTTAACCAATAGGTATCTTAAGGATCATGGTAGCAACAGTTGATATAGTGAAAAATAACATCAAAAAGAATAGATATGATAAGATATCATAGAGGACTAAATAAAGGTTAATATGGATATTAAGCTATTTGTTTATCTTCCTCTTTCTACTTTTGCTGGGCTTTTAGGATGGAGGAATTCCTCCTGCATAAGAGTCTATCCTACTGGTAAGCTCTGTGTAGTTTCATCCTTCCTGGGTCCAGTTAAATTTCCCCAGGCCATATCTCTTTCTACTGTAATCCATCTTACATCCCACCATAAGATTATTTCTAATTTATATTACAATTTTTATTTGTGGTAAAATATGCATAACATAAAATTTACCATCCTAACGATTTTTAAGTATATAGTTAAGTAGTATTAAGTATATTTGTGCAACAATCTCCAGAAATTTTTCATCTTGCAAAACTAAAACTCCGTACCCATTAAACAACAACTCCCTATTCCCCTGTCCTCCTAACCCCCAGCAACTACCATTCTAATTTTTGTTTCTATGAGTTTGAATACTCTAGATACTTCATATAAGCAGACTCATACAATATTTCCCCTTTAGTGACTGGCTTGTTTCACTTAGCGTAATATCTTCAAGTTTCACTCATGTTGTAGCATGTGTCAGAATTTCCTTCTTTTTTAAGGCTGCGTAATATTCCATTCTTGGTATAATACCACAATTTGGTTATCCATTCCATTGGTGGACATTTAGGTGGTTTTTACCTTTTTGGGGGGGGGAATAGGGAGAGAGAGAATCTTAAGCAGGTTTCGCACCCAGCATGGAAGAACAAAACAAAAGCAAATAGCTCAAATTGTTTATGACTTGCTATCTAAAGCTTTTTTCCTGACTAATATGAGCTTTCTATGGGCTCAAGACTGTTCCCAGATCTTATTTTATGTTGTGGCTGTTTTCTAGAATTACTTGGCCCTTTGGCTATTGCCCTAGAACTTTGAAGGCATATAAAACATGGATAAACTGGTGGTTAGCCTTTCAGGTAGCTAGGTGACTAATTTCAGTGGGAGGGCAGGTGACTAGATAGGTGAGTTGATAAGTATGAAATAGATGTGTTTATAACCTGTTTCAAAGCATGACACTAGCTGGGTAAGTGTGCCTCAGAGGTAGAGAGGCCTCCATTGCAGTGCTGCTTTGCCCCTACCACCTTGCTTCCCTTAGACAAGAACTTCGTGGTAGTTATCACAGTCCTTTATATGAGCACTTTTTATAACCTGTAATTATATTAATTGTTAAATTTCTGCCTTCCCTATCAGGCAATAGGTCCAATGAGGGTAAAGACTATTTTTTTCACCACTGTATCTCCAATGTCAGTGTCTCACTGTAGCTGGCATATAGTAAGTGCTCAATAAATGTGCACTTAAGAAATGATAGACTGACCAGAGTTGAAATGGCAGTGAATATTTGCCATACTAAATATGGCAAATTGAAATACTTGGAATCATAAAGGGTTTAGAAAAGTAGCAAGAGAGAGGGGCGCAAGCTTCAGGGCAGGCATGCTAGTATCCATGTAAACTGCTTATCTTTGACAGGTGGTGCAGGATCTCATGACCTTGCTTCAAGGCAGCAAAAACTGTCTTCAGAAAGATGAAAAATAAAAAGATCTGTACCTGGTCAGTGGCAGTTTGTCACTTTCTAGCCTACCATGAAAAACACTTCTGAGAGCTTTATCTTTTTCCCTTTTTGAAAGATACATATGTTCACTGTTAGAACACAGAAGTGTATATATGTTAATTTATTTGTTTGACTTTTTAAGCTCATCAAGTTTTAGATTTTCATAAGGAATCATATTCTTTAGTTATTTTTTTCTTTATTCCACATGGTGGAAATTTCAGTTCACTCTTTGGCAGTCAGATTTATTTACCTAGCAATACCTTATACCAGAATTTTCTAAGTATTTAAAAAAATATCATTTCCTTCTTTACAATGTGCCTATGACATTCAACAAGCATGCTTTCCATTTTTTTGACATGGAAATTAAAGCAAAGTAAGGTGTTTTACTATAGACTATACAATAGGTTCCTTCATTTTAGATCATTAAATTAACACACTGAAACAGCAGACCCAGCAGTTAGTCTTTCTGATGATTATCATTCCATATGTGGTTTTCTCTGAAATTGGGCCCTAAGGAATTAAGAGAAAGTATCTCTATTCCGGAATGTAAAATTAAAATAGATTGCCAGTTATGTATGTTACACTCTGGCAGGTTTGATGACTTCTGATCTAGCTTACTTTTTTTTTTCTTTTTCCACACAGATTGATAGAACTACATTCTCCTGATAGCAGGAACACGTTGATCCTACGCTGCAAGGATACAGCTACAGCACACTCCTGGTTCGTAGCTATCCACACCAACATAATGGCTCTCCTCCCACAGGTACTGGCTGAACTCAATGCCATGCTTGGTGCAACCAGTACAGCAGGAGGCAGCAAGGAGGTCAAGCACATTGCCTGGCTGGCAGAACAGGTAGGTTGAGAGGCAGGGCAAGGTCTCACTGGGTCACCATTCAGAGCCAAGGTGGTTCCCCCATTTCATATATTTATAATATTTATCATGCAGTCAGGTCCTGGATATCTAGCTTGCAGATCTTTTGTTTGTTGGTTTTGTGTTTCTCCTCCCTACCATTTAGTTATTTGTTGCTAATTATCACCTCCACCAGAAGAACTGACTGTCATGATAGTCATCAACACAACATAACTAAAAAGAGATTCTTATTACCATCTCCGTCCTTAATGACAGAGAATAATTTTCATGATTTTAGAATAAGATCAGCAAACTTTTTCTGCAAAGGGCCTGATAGTGTCACAACTCCTTGACTGTGCAGTTCCAGCAAGAGAACAGTGGTAGACAGTATGAAAATGGAGAGGTGTGGCTGTGTTTCAATAAAACTTTATGTACAAAAACAGGTACTGGGCTGCATTTGGCCCATAGGTCATAGTTTCACAACCCCTGTTCTAGTCTTCTGCCAGTTTCAGGGACAGAAAGCTTACTCTTCTGTTCTGAGAAAATATAAAATATGCAAAATATTTTACAAGCCATCAGCCAAATGTACAGTTGTCTTTTGTTTTAACTAGAGTTTGTGAGGTCTGGCCCCCCATGCCCCACCTCAGCAGAGGTTCTGATTGGATAGATCTGTGGTGGGGTCTAGCAGTCTTGTTTGGTAACTCATCAGCGGATTGTGTGGAGACCAACATTGGACTCCACTAATCTGTCTTTTCTTTTGAGCTCTGAAATTTTATAAATGTTTCAAGTAATAATTATAATAAATTAGAACACAGAATTAGCACTCTGATAATTTGTAGGAAGCATAATTAGGATAACTAAGCAGAGAAGAAACTAATGAGAATCATGGTATAAGTACTTACGACTTTAAAAGTTTTAGTATTTTAGTTATGTTTATCATTGTTTCTAAATTTTTTAAAGTTTTTTATTTTAATTCCAGCATAGATAACATACAGTGTTATATTAGTTTCAGGTGTACAATATGGTGATTCAACAGTTCTGTACTCAGTGCTTATCATGGTAAGCCTACTCTTTAAACCCCATCACCTATTTCACCCATCCCCCATCCACCTCCTTTCTGATAACTATCAGTTTGTTCTCTATAGTTAAGAATCTGTTTCTTGGAAAATTAATAACTATTCTTAAACTATTCCAAAAAAGAGAAAAGTAAGGAAAACTTCCAAATTCACTCTATGAGAACAGCATTACCCTGATACCAAAACCAGATAAAGACACGACTAAAAAAGAGAACTATAGGCCAATATCCCTGATGAGCATAGATGAAAAATTCTCAAAAAAATGTTACCAAACCAAGTTCAAAAATACATTTAAAAAAATCATTCATCTCAATCAAGTGGGATTTATTCCCGGGTTACAAGTGTGCTTTTTTTTTTTTTTTGAAGATTTTATTTATTTATTTGATAGAGAGAGACACAGTGAGAGGGAACACAAGCAGGGGGAGTGGGAGAAGGAGAAGCAGGCTTCCCGCTGAGCGGGCAGCCTGATGTGGGGCTCGATCCCAGGACCCTGGGATCATGACCTGAGCCGAAGGCAGCCGCTTAACGACTGAGCCACCCAGGCGCCCCTACAAGTGTGCTTTGATTCACAAATCAATCAGTGTGATACATTACGTCAATAAGAGAAAGGATAAGAACCATATGATCATTTCAATAGATGCAGAGAAAGCATTTGACAATGTATAACATCCATTCATGATAAAATCCCTCCACAAAGTAGGTGTAGAGGGAACATATCTCAACATAATAAAGGCTGGATATGAAAAACCGACAGCGAACGTCATACTCAATGGATGTCCACTCTTATCACTTTTATTTAACATAGTACTAGAAATCCTAGCCACAGCAGTCAGGCAACAAAAAGAAATAAAAGAGAACCTAATTGGTGGGGAAGAAGTAAAACTTTCACTATTTGCAGATGGCATGATACTCTATATAGAAAATCTAAAAGACTCCACCAAAAAACTGCTAGAACTCATAAGTGAATTCAGTAAAATCCACAGGATACAAAATCAGTGTGCAGAAATCTGCTGCACTTCTATACACTAAAAATGAAGCAGCAGAAAGAGAAATTAAGAAAAAAAATCCCGTTTACAATTGCACCCAAAATAATAAGATATCCAGGAATAAACCTAACCAAAGAGGTGAAAGACCTGTACTCAGAAAACTATAAAACACTGATGAAAGAGATTGAAGATGACAAAGAAAGACATATCATGCTTGTGGCTTGGAAAACTAAATATTGTTAAAATGTCTATACTACCCAAAACAACCTACACATTTAATGCAATCCCTATCAAAATACCAACAGCATTTTTGGGGCGCCTGGGTGGCTCAGTCGTTGGGCGTCTGCCTTCGGCTCAGGTCATGGTCCCAGGGTCCTGGGATCGAGTCCCACATCGGGCTCTCTGCTCCGCGGGAAGCCTGCTTCTCCCTCTCCCACTCCCCCTGCTTGTGTTCCCTCTCTCACTGTGTCTCTCTCTGTCAAATAAATAAATAAAATCTTTAAAAAAAAAATACCAACAGCATTTTTCACAGAATTAGAACAGAGAATACTAAAATTCTTGTGGAACTGCAAAAGACTCTGGATAGCCAAAGCAATCTTGAAAAAGAAAGGCAAAGCTGGAGGTGTCACAGTTCTAGACTTCAAGTTGTATTACAAAGCTGTAGTAATCAAAACAATATGGTACTGACACAAAAATAGATCAGTGGAACAGAATAGAAAATCCAGAAGTAAACCCACAATTATATGGTCAATTAATCTTCAACAAAGGAGGAAAGAATATCCAATGGGAAAAAGAATGTCTCTACAACAAATGGTGCTGGGAAAACTGGACAGCTATATGCAGAAGAATGAAACTGGACCACTTTTTTGCACCATACACAAAAATAAGTTCAAAATTGATTAAAGACCTGAATGTGAGGGACACCTGGGTGGCTCAGTCAGTTAAGTGGCTGCCTTTGGCTTGGGTATTGATCCCGGGGTCCTGAAATGGAGTCCTGCAGGGAGCCTGCTTCTCCCTCTGCCTGACACTCCCCGTGCTTGTGTACTCTCTCTCTGACAAATAAATAAATAAAAATCTTTAAAAAAAAAAAAAAGACCTAAATGTGAGACATGAAACCATAAAAGTCCTAAAAGAGAGCACAAGCAGTAGTTTCTCTGACATCAACTGTAGTAACATCTTTCTAGATAGGTCTTCTGAGGAGAGGGAAATAAAAACAAAAATAAATTATTGGGACTTCATCAAAATAAACTTCTGCACAGCAAAAGAAACAATCAACAGAACTAAAAGGCAGCCTACTGAATGGGAGAAGATATTTGCAAATGACATATTCAATAAAGGGTTAGCCAAAATATATAAAGAACTTATACAGCTCAACTCCCCCCCAGAATACAAGAAACAAGTATTGGGAGGATGTGGAGAAAAAGAAACCCTTGTGCACCGTTGGTGGGAATGCAAATTGGTGCAACCACTGTGGAAAATAGTATGTAGATTCCTCATAAAATTAAAAACAGAACTACCTTATGATCCAGCAATCACAGTACTGGGTATTTACCCAAAGAATATAAGAACACTAATTTGGAAGGTTACATGCACCCTTATGTTTATTGCAACATTATTTACAAGAGCCAAGGTACGAAAGTAGCCTGAGTGTCCAATGACTGATGAATGGATAAAGAAGATGTGGTATATATACACAATAGAATATTATTCAGCCATAAAAAAGAATGACATCTTGACATTCGCAACAATATCAATGGGGCTAGGCAGTAAGATGCTAAGTGAAATAAGTCAGTCAGAGAAAAATACCATATGATTTCACTCATATGTAGAATTTAAGAAACAAACAACAACAACAAAAAAAAACAAGCAAAGGGAAAATATAAGAGAGACAGAAACAAATCAAGAAACACACTCTTAACTATAGAGAACAAACTGATGGTTACCAGAGGGGAGATGGGTGGAGGGATGGATTGAATGGGTGATGGGGATTAAGGAATGCACTTGTGATGAGCACCAGGTGATGTATGGAATTGTTGAATGATTATATTGTACACCTGAAACTAATGTAACACTGTATGTTAACTAACTGGAATTAAAATAGAATCTTAAAAAAATAAAATGCACTTTTTATCCTCATAAAAAAAAGTTTGTTTTTTGGTTTGCCTCTTTCCTTTGTTCATTTGTTTTGTTCCTTAAATTCCACATATGAGTGAAATCGTATGGTATTTGTCTTTCTCTCACTGACTTATTTCACTTAGCATTATACTTCAGTTCTGTCCATGTTGCTGCAAATGGCAAGATTTCATTCTTTTTATGGCTGAATAATACTCCATTGTGTGTGTGTGTGTGTGTGTGTGTGTGTGTGTGTGTACCACATCTTTTTTTTTTTTTAAGATTTTATTTTTAAGTAGTCTCTACACCCAACAGGAGGCTCAGACTTAGAACCCTTGGCGATCAGGAGTCACACACTCCACTGACTAGCCAGTCAGGCGCCCCTATACCACATCTTCTGTATTCAATCATCTATCGATGGCACTTGAGCTGCTTTCACAGGTTAGCTATTATAAATAATGCTGCCATAAGCAGAGGGGTGCATATATCCTTTCAAATTAGTATCTTTGTATTCTTTGGGTAAATACTCTGTAGTTTGATTACTGGATTTTAGGGTAGTTCCATTTTTAATTTTTTGAGGAACCTCCATGCTGTTTTCCACAGTGACTACACCAGTTTTCATTCCCAACAACAGTGTAAGAGGGTTCTTTTCTCTTCACATCCTCGCCAACACCTGTTGTTTCTTGTATTTTTTGAGTGTAGCCATTCTGACAGGTGTGAGGTGATAGATCATTGTAGTTTTGATTTGCATTTTCCTGGTGAGGGATGTTGAGTGTCTTATTGTGTCTATTGGCGATCTGGATGTCTTCTTTGTAGAAATGTTTGTTCA